CGGAGATTTTCAGACACCGCAAACGAGTTATGTGATTGCCGATTTACAACGTCGACTTATAAAAAGATAAGGTTTAGTGGCAGACATTTTGAGACTCTACAATCGAGTTTTCGAAACACGTGTTTTTAAATCTTTGCCATCGAAATTTTGTTGTTTCTCGGACGAAAAGACGTAACTCCATTCCGAGGCTGCAAAATTAAAAAAAAAACAACTAATTTTTTTGCTAAATTATGACCGCGCAGTCTCCGTCTAAAATTCTGCTCATTTTTCCGTGCAATCGAAAACAAGCTCAAAGACATTTCAAGCCAGCGGACCGATTATTGAAACTGATAGATAAAGCGATAGACAAAGACGACAAAACGGATTTGGAGGGATCCTATTGGTGGAAACGGGTTGTTGCAATGGACAAAGGAGGTAGGTAATCGACTAAGTAACGGCAACCCACGAGAAACCCGACAGTTAGTCGATCATTTTCCCCCTTAGTCGATGAGAACCACCCATTTCAACCAATAGAATTGCTTTATACCCCCATGTCATCTTTGTCTATCGCTTTGTCTATCAGTTTCAATAATCGCCCCGCAGAAACGTCTAAAAGTTTTCTAGGAGAATCACAATATGCGAAAGGAAATTTTGTAGCGTTGATATGCAGTCACGTTCTTTCGACAATTCGTCGCTCCTCTGACGTAAGAGCGTATCTAGATTTCCACGTGAACCCTGTTCTCCATATAACTCCATGCTTTCTAGGGCTCACGTCGAAATCGAGATACGCCCTTACGTCAGAGAAGCGACGAATTCAGTGCTTAACCTGGCAACGCGGCGGGCGCCTCCATATTCGGTTTCGTAGGTTTTCTTTCCCACAGGCTCCTGAACTGCTTCGAAAGTATTTTAACCTGGCAATTTGATACGGCAACTTGGGAGAAACTTCATAATTTTATTTCTGCAGCGGAACTTTTCGCAGTTAACTTTGAAATTGCAGTGACGAGGGAGCCGACCGACTTGGACTCGCGGCCTGGTCCTGCAAACAAGACACGTCGCCCCGAAAGGACGCTTTCAGTGGCGGCGTCTGAAACCTCTGTTCTCGCTCCCTCCTAACTCGCTTCACCCCTTGAATGCATTACGGGGAGGCGCGGAAAGACACTCAGGCCGGGACCCTAAGATGCACCTGGAAATCATCTTAACTTGTTACTTCCTCAGAGTTACTGTCTTAAAAATCTTCGAGTGAAATCCGGAGCTCATTTTATTCCGAAGCCTATTCTGCCGCGCTAAGGAAGAACGCCGTATGAACATTCGAGAGTTGCCAAATTTACTTCGATAAAATGTTTATTTATGACGAAAATTATGAATATTTTTCATTGAAATTTTCAGACGTTTTAGATTAAATTAAAAACAAAATTATCTGAGAAGTTGGTAGACAAATATTAAAATTTTCCTGAAAATTAGTGATTTGCCAGAGGAAATTTGGCAACGTCTGAAGGCTTATACGGCGTTTTCCTTAGCACGGCAGTATTTCGCTCTCAGAAAACCGGAGCCATGTGCCAAACGGAATCGACTCTTTATTCGGAGTTAACTTCGCTCTTACAGAGTGGAATGAACTCTTGTTTTTGAGTTAACTCTGCTCTTGTGGAGTGGACTCTACTCCTAATTTATATATTATTCAGCAAGGAGGTTATCAAAATTGGTAGACAAAACGATGCACATAGAAGAAAAACTTATCATAGTAGTTTAGTTAATACGAGAAATAAAACACAAAATGACCCAATCCTTCGGTTGATTCTGAGGTTCACCAACTCTATATTTTATTCTGTGCTGAAATCATCACAGACTGCCAAAATCAACACAATATTGGGGTTAGTTTGTGTTTCGTTTCGATATGAGCCAAAAGTAACACAAATCGACGGTGTAAGTCGGCAATCTCATAACTCGTCTTGCGATGTCGCAGACTTCCTATCACACTTTACTTTTTAAACGGAAAACTACTCAACGGCAATTTTTTAAAACTGCCTTGATTTTTCTTCTCTGTGCGAAGAAAATTCTGCAAAAACTTCAAGGAATGATGTCGATTTATTCTCCTTTAAGAAAATAACGTAGAGGCTGATATTTTCAGACACCGCAAACGAGTTATGTGATTGCCGACTTACACCGTCGATACATAACTTTGGGGTCAAAAGCAAAATTGTACCCACAAGAAAACAAACTTTGATTTTAAAGTTAGACTCGTAATGTAAAGAACGCAGACATATCAGTTGCAGTACAGCAAATAAAACCATTTTCTCGGCAGTGTCTCTTCTTTTTGCGGAAAATACCTGTCGCGTCGTCTCAAAAAGTCAATCAATTTTAGCATGCGAATTTTTAATCGTGACAACGATTCTTTCCAAGTTGGGATACATTTTTTTAGGAGATGAATTGTGATAAATGCTCTGCAGCCCGTGACAAGATATACAATAAAAAAACAATTTAAAAATCGGGTAACAAGGCTAAAATTTCACATACACAAAACCAAAACGTTTCGGCTGAAAATTCGGCCATCCTCAGTTGGATGGATCAAAATAAAAATGGTTAAAAATCTAAAACAGTACCTGATAAGTACCTTTCGATTGGGAATGTTGTTATTATGTTGTTTTTTTAGGAGATACGTGATTGCGAACTCACGCCGTCGAAATATTTTTATCTGCGCATCCGGATCCTCCTCCAATAGAAAATACTTTGGAAACGCTGCACATATGCGGTTTCCCTGAGTGGCGGG